CAAACAGAAAAGGTACCTTCTTACAAATGAATGATTTTACCATTGTTTCCTTGGTTACCGCAATGCGTATGCTTTATTTAATCTACCTAGATAAAGCATAAATTTTGCATCGTATTTATATCTGTCACAATCTTTTTCAATGTCATTTCAGCATAGTTTATTACTGGTAATTACCAGATGAAAAAAAATATTTTATCTCCATTTCTGTTTAAAGTAATAAAATGATTAAACTTATTTCATGTTAGTTTTAAAGGGGGAACTATTGATATCACGGTTCATCAAGTCATAGTAGAGAGTTACGCAAAGCTAGTGGAGGGGCTTGGGGAGGAACTATGATAGACAAAGCTTACGAACGATTCCTTTCAGATTTAGCAGGTATTTACAATTTTCAATAAGTTTTATACGAAACATTTTGAGCATAACATCGCCTGACCCCTATCTTATCACTGAGCCGGGTTGTGAAAATAGGCCATTTTGAAATAGCAATTCCAGATACTTCACTTGGAATAGACAGAAAAATCGGAACAAGGTTTATATTTGGTGGTACAGAGATTGCCGTAAAAACTGAAGATAAACAAACAGGACAAGTTCAAATTAATTCTATTGACTTTTTATTATGATATTTTTTCTTTATCCCTTGTCTGATAAGATTTTCTTTGTTTAATACTATTTTTAGTAACGCATATTGTTGTTTTTTATCAAACAAAATAATCATTTGTAAAAAAGTTCGACCAATTTTTCATTGACTGGCACTATGACGTGGTAAAGAATGAAAATTATTTAATATTACAAAGTATGTTTCCACGATGTTTTGAAATTTGTTACCTTAAGACAATTTAATAAATTTCGATATTGCTTATTAAGAAGTGTTTTTCATGACATAAAACTGTTTTTTGGAAGTTTAAAAAAATGAAACACTAGGAAACGATATACAAATCAGGAGTCATATGATTACTATGATGTCAGTAAAACTGGTGATGTTGTATTATAAATGCTGTTAAAAAATCAAAGGGATGTCAATGGCCAATGACTCTTAATTGAATTAATGTCTTATTGTTTATTTTTAGATTTATCATTATCCAAGTTTAGTGATATATGTAGCTTTAAGTAGACATTTTTGTTGGACGAAAGATCTTCTTCAACAAGGTGAGGAAACCTATGTAAAAGCGAGTAAATATTGTGATATAGCTGACGTAATTATGTTTCAACCTCTAAGACAAAAAAAACTAATAGCCTGACGAAGTGTTTATGACACTCAATTTGGATTCAGAAAAAAGTCAACCGTTGATCAATTTTTCTTTTTGTGTTTCATTTATTGTATCAAATTATACTAATCATGACAAAATTACATCAGTCATAATAAGCATATAAATTGTGTTTCATGAATTTTAAAACAGTATTTGCTTGTTCTTGTCGGGATGCTTTTTGTTTAAAGTTGTACATGTATATACTTAGTATTGGGTGAAAATGTAATAAATTGTTTAAGATGTAATCATCCAAAAAGTTAAATCAGATATATATGTACGAGTATTCGGATTTTTTTTCATTTATTTATTTATCTATTTACTTGGAACACCGGTATTCTCTTGGTTTATGACAAGGAAGTGAATTTCCCGCGTTTTTCTTCTATCTAGTTACCAGTAGTGGATAAGGTTAATAAATAACTTTTCATGTTTGTATAATATGCACGTGACAGGTTTTGGGTACACATCTGATGACATAAGTAAAAGTCCAAATTTGTATGTTGTTTGTGATGGAACAATGATATAATATTCATATATGAAATGAAAGTTATATTCAATTCTGCAGATTTCTTCTTTTAAAGACATAAACAAGATCTTGTAAATGATATACAGTTTTCGTTATTATTACTTAGGAAAAAGGTTTTTAATTTGCACTCATTCAAGAAGAGTTTGTTTGAACATCATTGGTAGCTTTAATGATATTATTTATCAAATGTAGTTAACATAAATTAAACCGAATAATTCTGCCAACTTTTTATTGTTTTCTAATCTTAGTTTGACCTTAATCTCTGCATCTGATATTTGGTAAAATAGTACATCTGGTGAAATAGAAAAAGTGCATTCAAAATTCTATGAAATGAAACTGAGTGTAAATATAAGTATCCCTAACACAACTTTTTTGTGAACTTGTCTGTAAGCCTTGTATGTTTTTAAATATTTTAAAATGTTGAATGAAAACAAAGTTATATTCTATTTAAGGAAGCCAAAAGATTTGAAAAACGATAGTTTGAATGATTGTTATAATGGTAAAACAGACTTGAACAATCAGTTTTATTTTAATCAGTATTGCTTTCATCAAATTTCGAATAATTTTATGCACATAAATGATCAATTGTTTATACCAATGTTGCTCTTGACATGTAGAAAAACAAAATAATTGTGTTTAAGAATTATTTTCAAATTATTGGCAGTCTTTTATTGACACTCAAAGGTCAATTTCAGACCCAAGCTTGTGAGGCCCTTGTCAAGTTTTAGTAACTTTTATCATTGTTACTCGAATGAATAAAATACCATCAAGTTTCGATAAAGTAAAACTTGTCATCCGGCCAAGCAATGTGCGAAATTCTCTCGGCTCTAGGTTTACGCTGTTGTTTTGCATTCTGAGCCAGGGACGCCAGCTGTTATGTATACATCGTCTGTGGTGCAACTCAATAAACGCACGATGGAATACCCGGGAACTGTCCGCGTATTATTTTTGCAAGATACAATAATTATTACCCAATTAAACAGCCGAAGTTGTCCCGCTTGTGTATTAAGGAAGTATATTCTATTCTAGGAATAATCGATCAAAGTTGGAGGTGAAGGTTTGAGTACAGTATTTCGGCAGGTAACAATCCTATTTTAATATGTTATACGTTATTTTTATTAGCTTTGTGAATAAAAAAACATATTTTGCCATTTTTTAATATTTCAATTGATAAAAAACGGTGTGAACTTACAGGAAGCTTTTTAATGAGCAAAATTGATCGATGCTAAAATGACATAATAATGATGCAGACGCAAGACAATTGCAAATCAATTGCAAGTTGCTATGTTGTTATGTGTTTGTTTGTTTTTGTTTTGCTTTTTAATGTAGAAACTAAAATCCTACAAATATGTTATTACTAGCTACAGTTTTGAGTATTGATCTTCAATTAAAAACAGGCCAGCAAAGCACGTTAAAAACAACAAAAAAACAATAAGACAAAACAGTAATAAAAAAAAAGAAATCACACAAAAATGAAATGGGAAATATTGAAAAGTCAATTAAGAAAAGTTGTACTTGACATTTCACTTTTCGATCAAACAAAACCATTGAAATCTAAATTTCTCACATTATCATAATTATTTTAAGTCAACCATTGATATTGACAATCATATGTTTTAGATCTTTAAATGTACATTGAAATTATGCTGTTTTCAGATCAGCAAATGTAATGAATTTTTAAGGCATTTTATCTTGAATCATTTTGTCTATTTACACATCGGTCGAATAATCTAATTTCCAGTACTTGTATTTATTATATAGATAATGAAACCAAAATGTATGCCTCTACAGGTAGTACAGACCCGCGCTATGTAAATTCTTGTCCGGTATTACGCCTTTACGTGTAGAGACGGGGAGGAATGAAAATATGCATACGAATGCTAGACTCTGTCCTATTTGTAAAAATGCTGTTGAAACAGAAATGCATGCCTTATTTGAGAGTACCAAACCATAAGAAATAGATTGTATGAGGAAGCTAAAAAAATCTTAACTTGGAATGAGGATGAAAAATTTGATTTTTCCATCTATATATTAACGATATTGTTAGTGTAAGTGTCAAAACCTGTTAACGAGATAGACCCTTCTGTGCATTAGTTATACTGTTACTTTTAATTATACATGATCACATCTTATAAAAACACGAACATGTAGTTATGTGGTAAGTTGGTCACGTCCCTTACAATCATGTCTTACAATCATGTTCTTGGTAATGTGTTGTACATTCATGTTCTTACTTGGTTATATCTTCTTACTTAGCCATTTCCTATCCATTGATGTTCTTACTTGGTCATACCGGTATTTTGTGCATTCATTTTTTTACTTGGTCATGATACTCCATTATGAACATGTGATTTTAACTTCTCAAAGGGAGAAATTCAGGAGTTGGAAATTATACACAGAAAACTTCAAGAAATATCGGCGCGCCGCAGTCGGGACTCGAACCACTGGTCTCATGATTGCCAGTATGCTAACCACTGCCCCACAGTGGCCTAATATATATGGTAAGCAATCAACCGAAAGTACATTTTTTGGTACTCTATGACATGTTATACTATCTATTTAATTGATGCTAAAGCGATTAAAGTAATTGAACAATAATTTTGTCTACTCCACACATATTTAGCAAAACATGCCATAGCAAAACATGCCATTTGTATGAAAAGGATTGCTAGAAGATAATCACTGATTGATAATTTTAAAACTTAAGATAACAATTTAAACAGTCGGCTCTTGTTATCTCGAAGTCGCCGGGACCGTCGAAAACATGTCGAGAACGAGATAAACAAACAAGCCACAATAAGGGTTTAGTAACTGATTTATCTACATCAGGCATGTACATGTATACCCATTATCTACGTCAGATAAACTGAGTATGGTGAATTTTTGTCTTGTTTTCTTAAGGCTTCAGAATAAGGTCTCATTAATAAAAAAACAAAACAAAAAACAAAAAAACAAACAAAAAAAAACAAACAAAAAAACGCTTTGTTCTTACGACTTTATTGCACTATGCAACATTAAGCCTTTTTAAGCAACTTAATTTAGATATGGGCGAGTGAAAACCAAGATCAGCTGGCATATCCGTTGCATCTTACTATGTGCTCCAATTTTCCCAAAATGATAAATGGCTTTGCCCAGATTAAAATATAGACAAGTCCATTTAATATTTTAAGTGTGGTATAGGTTAATTGAAAGATAACAAGACCTTCTTTTATCACCTGACCTACTTTGGTGGTCACAGAAAGTAGTTCTTTGAGTCACAGAAAAACGAGATATAGTAGATAAAAAGGACAGGAAGAATATTATCTGTGACTCTTTTAAGAACAATAATAACAAAGATAGGCATGGCAGTAGTTTGTCTTGTATTAGTTTTTATCTGCACATACGTGTGCCAGAATTCAGCTTTAAGGTTGGAATCGAAAGGTAAGAAGTCTTTTAACCGTATTATTTGCTTGTTATCATTGTTAAGATATTTTTATTGTATATACCAACATGTAATACCATACGTACACCGTGAATTGCAGAAACAAATGACATATATGTTGACAGTTTTGACATAAAGTTGAGTTTATAAATTGAAATTTATTATATGGCATATATTACGTTTAATTACAACATTTAATGCTTGAAGAAAAGGTAAATCATGTCTGTTTATAACAGAATGAATACATGCCTAATCTCACATGTGTGTTCTTTTTTTTCAGAGCGTCGTCATTTGGAAAGTCCACTCTTCCATGATTGTCCAAAAGGATTTTCTAGATTTGGTAACTCATGCTTTCACGTTGCGTATGATCTCGCCAACTGGCCGGAAGCTGTTGTAAGTGACTTTTCATATCATACATAGCATGCACAAACACACATTAACACGGTCTGGTAACGCGATTTTAATAGGTTGAGGATGGCTGAGTACGAAAATGTGAACGATCAAACGTCTTGCGCCAACATTGAGTACTAGCCTCAGCAATCCTATTCTTATGTTGTAATAATTTTAATACTAAGTGCTTAAAAGGAGACACATTTAGATATCCTTATGAAATATTCTGGAAAACAGAATGTTGATATAGTCCTAAAGTGATTTGTACGAACATTATATGAATTATAATACTATGTTGTTCTAGAACACTTTATAAATTGTCTGCTATATATTGCTATGTCATATTGTACAATGTATCTAACTTTTACCAACAATATACACATATATTTATTTTGTAGTTTGTTTTCACGTATAATTCTGAATACTATAAACATAGTTATTTATGGCATTACACATTTCGTATAATAAACAAATCTAGATTAAAGTTATATGAAAGTAAGTAAAGCCTATATATACGGGGAAGTCAGATATAAAAAAATCATTCATTTTCTGTCAATTTACATATTTCGTTTTAAAGGTGTCATTTGGTATTTCATGCACCGCTTCCGGTTTCAATCGGAATACCTTGACGAAAAGTTGCGATTGTTCCGTTACCGGAATACCCCGCCATTTTATTTGAGTTACATTAAAAATGCGGTGTCCAACTAGAAAAGATACTAAAAATTTCATTGATAGGTATAGAAATTTTATACGTGTAGTTTATAGCCAGGCAAGCCAAAGCATCTGATTTCCGCGTATAATGCTTGCTATGGGCGTATCAGTACAAAAAAGACACATTGACAAATAGGTTAACCATCACCACTGTTTCACTATCAGATTACAAATGTTTCAATTGATTTATATGCAGGTATACTGCCAAGTATATGGTTCCCATTTAGCATTCATAGAATCTGAAGCCGAGAGCCAGTTTGTGACAGCTTATCTCAAGAATTTTAGCGGTAAAGTAATTTCTTAAGAAATCTACATGTATCAGGATTTTTGAGGTATAAAGATAGTATGAAAAGTTGAAAATACGTATTTGAGTTATTCATTGTGCATAGATCTATACTTTAATCTTATCATTTACCAGATAATCACCAGTCAGGTCAGTGTGTATAATAAGAACACGGTAATATACCGCTAAAACAAAAAATGTGTCTTTTTGACTTTTAATAATTATGAAGTATATACAGGTATTTATTTCACACAGAACGAGGTAAAAATTTACTTTTGCAAAATGCTATGTAAGATTTATGAAATGATTACCGCATAAATGATGATTTTTTTTCTCGTCCTATTTATTTGTATAATTATATATTATATTTATTATATATTAAATAAATCAATATCAAGTTCATATTTTAATTAAAATAACAAAATTGTGTCATGATATCAAAAACAGGTGGTGTGCAATAAAGATCTCACTATGCATTGTTTACAACAATAGTGTTATAAATTCTCCTCTCTTGTAATTTATAATTTCTACTACTTCCATAATTTCCTTTGCATAAAATAAACAATAACTGTTTTCCGTTTCATTTCACCATTTATTTATTTGAAAGTGTCCTAAATTTCTAATCTACAATTAATATTTAAAGTTACAGTTTTTCTTTCTCACACATGGTTGATAAGTCACTCAATTTTTACTATTTAGCTCTTAAGATCTCATTCTTGAAACTTCCATCTAAAATCCTGAATCTTGACTCTTCAATCTAGAAACTTGAATGTTAACTGCCCCCCCCCCCGAAAATACTTGTCCCAGTATTTATATGAAATACCTAGTCTCTCCATATTTGGAGGTTACCTTAGTGTTAATTGACAAATTTAAGCCTTCTATATTTATAAAAA